GTCCATTTACAACCCTAGGATTTGTCCCTAGAATGAAATGCTCTGTTTTTACCTTATTTGGAAGGATCATTAATAATAATGTTGAGCTCTGCTCTGATTGGCTGTTTCACAGTGCGGCTCGTTTCAGTAGCTCACACAGCAGGAAGGAAACACAGGGAAAATATATATTTCAACACGGTCTCTCGCACTTATATCATTGGGTAATTATACTGTAAATAAAATGCAAGCACCAGGGAGCCGCTATTAATATGCGGGGCATTGAAACTGCATTTGAAAGCACGATCGCTTTTTACTTTCACTTTTGAGATTTGCGATCGCATGTGCTCTGTGTAACTACAGCAGCAGTACTTACCACACATTTTACAAGATCAGATGCTTGTCAGTGTTGCTCAGGATCTGTAAATCATTCGCCATCATCCTCAGTCATCTCTCCTTACTCTGTTTATGTGGTAAGTGAAAGCTTATGTACTGTAATGTAACAGGCTACCGCTAGCAAGCAGCTAACCATGTCCCTTTAGTGGCTCGCGTTATTTTATTAGAACGTGTGTTATTTGTTTTCCGTGCCTTTCTGAATACAGACACCAACCCATCCCTGCACATCACATCCCCTGCACAGCCTGGAACATAACATTAATTTCCATGACCTGCCATTTTCACTATTATCCTCACTTGTTTCTTCACAATACCTGCAGAACTTCTGATGATTCGGCTGTGCAGGTTCGGCTGGCGGCTGGCATAGAACATGGGTGGCTATATGCAAATGTTGGGGGCGTAAATATTAGTGATCCCGACTGTAACATCACATTGTTATTGTCAATATTTCATTATTATTATTTATTTTTTATCAGTATTGGTCATTATTGGATATTTAATAGTTCATGGTAATTTTGCTAATTCCTCAAATTTTACATTTTGATTAACTTGACACTCACTGATCTTTAATCTTTAAAAAATAATCTTTTAAGATAATAACACTGTTAAACGGAATCCTTAACCAATCTGAAAAAAATATGCATATTATAATCTTGTGATGCGCAAATTCAATCATTTAAAATGAGTTTTGTTTTTAGCTTTTCAATTTTAATTTATTTAGACAAAACTAATAAACTAGTAAACCATTAAAAAAAATGTCCATATGAAAATCATATTGGCCAGAATTACAATTGTCCTTTATGAGTGACTGCAATGGTTGCTTTATGGGTGCATAATTTTCAAAACAATTGTTAGCTGCTGCACCAATATCGACCAATCAGAATTCAGAATACGTGTTATAATAACCCTGATACTCATCCCCGTGTTGAAGCATCCAAACGTATGTGTGAGTGAGAGAGAGATATTCTGTCACAGCAGCTTGACTTCTGATATTGCAATGCACGCATGAGCCTGGGGAGGTTTGAGCGGGTAATGACATAGATAATGAAGGTTCAATTCACTTCCACTTTATTTCAGAAAAGCTATCGCATCAGCGCAACCAAACTGCTGTTACACTACACCTCATCAGCTCTTCTAATCAAATCTCGCTCTGTGCCGCTGAACAACTCAAACATGCTGTGGCATTTGTGTGTTTGCACGCCGAGGTGGAGATGTGGCTCATCTAACAAGTCATCTAATAATACGACTGGTCTTGATGGTGATGCATAAACATGCTTTTAATCATGAATTGGATGGAAATTATAAATGGAGAGCAGGACACACACACCACTGTGAGGACAGAATCATTTATCACATGAAGCACTTTGGCCACTCTGGCCCTGTGCTTACTCAAAATACGGATCCATCGTTTTTTTCCGTTCACGCATCAATACAGATCTGACACCGGTTTTAAATTTGTGCTGTCAAATGACACAAAGACTTTACCAGTACCGACTAGAAAGACGGATATGAGAGCGAGGGAAAAGGTGATTCAGTTCATTTTGTACAAATATTCTCCGGTCAAGCTCGGCACCGGTTTATTTCTCAGAGATCTTTATGAGCTGAATATGTTTTGCAGCCAGCATAGAATGAAGGAGTAAACCGAATTCATTATACATGTGATGGTTTATGCATCATGCTGGCAATAGGGGTTATGAATATCAAAAGAAGTGTCCTGTATTTCAGACAATCCATTTCAGGCTTGCCAGAGAAATAAGGGCGACTTTATGGTCAGGAACTCAGCATTGCAGCGCGCATAAAAACAACCAACAGAAAGTTGCACCTTTTGACATTTGCCAACTATTTTAGTGGAGCACAAAGAAACTAAACAGTATCAATTTATCAGAGTATTTTTTAAATAATATTTGGTTTTACTGTATTGAGTTATTTACTTTCAATGTACAGTATTACATAATGCGCCTTTTTTTGTCAGACTTGTGAATTTAATATAATCTTTTATTTTTAAGATTGCAATCTAACTTTTTTTAGTTTGTCAATAAAGTTCCCCCAAAAATAAAGAAAATCAAATGAGATACAGTACTTTTTGTTATGAAGAGATAAAAGTACTCATTTGTTAAGTAGTCTTTTTCGCAAACTTGCAAAACATGCTTAATTTTTACATTCCAAAATGGTTATTTTAACTCGTTCACATGGCGGTCAAAAATGGCTGCTTTTTTGGGGGGGTTTGTTTATTTGTTTATTATTATTATTATTATTATTATTTCAATGAGATGAATGTACAATATTTTAGTTTGATAATTTTTTTTTATTTAATATTTTGTATATTTAGGGAACTTTATGGTAGTGAATTATATTTACAGAATAGTTATGGTCCATTTATTACCTGTTAACAACTTTTGTTTGTTTGTTATAAAGAACCTAAAAAAAATAATACGGTTTTATGATTTTTTTAAAAATTTATTTTACAAACATGTTTTACTCTAAAACTGCAAGAAAATCAAAAGGCATAAATCTAAGCAAGTTGTGTTCCAAAATGGTTATTTTAACTCGTTCACATGGCGGTCAAAAATGGCTGCTTTTTTGGGGGGGTTTGTTTATTTGTTTATTATTATTATTATTATTATTTCAATGAGATGAATGTACAATATTTTAGTTTGATAATTTTTTTTTATTTAATATTTTGTATATTTAGGGAACTTTATGGTAGTGAATTATATTTACAGAATAGTTATGGTCCATTTATTACCTGTTAACAACTTTTGTTTGTTTGTTATAAAGAACCTAAAAAAAATAATACGGTTTTATGATTTTTTAAAAAATTTATTTTACAAACATGTTTTACTCTAAAACTGCAAGAAAATCAAAAGGCATAAATCTAAGCAAGTTGTGTTCCAAATTTGAGGTTAATGTCTGAAAAAATTAGCTTTCAGTAAGATTTTGTTTAGGCACAGTTCCAAACATTTCTAATAGATGAAATTTACTTTCCATACCACTATGTTTTTCCTTGATTTTTCTGTAAAAAACTATATTGTAATATACATCTTTTAAAAACATACTCTAACACAGCCAAGTTTTGGATAAGTAAGACTTTTTTGTTTTGTTTTTGGTAAGAAGTCTCTTATGATAAGAAGTCAGCTGAGAGGAATTATATTGTGCTAACCAATGGCATAAATATCAGCTGATATTAACAGATATTACAAAACAACTGACTCACAGGATCAACCTTCCTTTTAGGTTTGTTCAGACATATTTTTGGGCATAATGGAATGAAATCCATTTATTTGTATTCTGAACAACAAATAAGCTTTTATGCTGTTTTTACAAATCTGATCCAAACCACATTCATGCGTGATTTGAAAATCAATTCAATTCAATGGACTTGATGTGTAGAGTGCTCTCTTCTCACAATGACAGCTAGCAGTTGTTCTAAAAGAACATTTCCTGGTGTTGTGCTGACGTGGAAGTCATTACTATGGCAACTGGTGTAGACATACAAATTAATGTCAGTGTGAACAATTAGCCCTAAAGACTGAATCTGTAAAACGGCATCTAAATCAGTGTGAACCAGGGGTCGGCAACCTACGGCACGCGTGCCAACAGTGGCACACAGAGGGATAATCACTAGCAATATGGCAAAAACTGCATACTGACATACATTTTGAGGTAATAACTTATTATTAAGTTATTACATCAAAGTCACACAGCCTGTTAGGAGCCATAAATACTAATAAAGTGTGAGAATTAACTTGCGCTAGTCTACGGACCACTGCACATACTAGGCACTTCAGATCAAAGCCTCAGAGCTCTAACAGCGTTCATCAATGTCAAAATGACTGAGATGGCCAGTCAAATCAAAGTAGGCAGGGTTTACTGTTCACAGAAGCAGAGCGCGAAGCGTCAGTTTAACGTTAAAGAGAGCGAGGTAAGACGAAGCTGCAAATCATTTAATATTAGTCAACTTTTAACGATACGTTTTACGATAGAAATGTTAAATGACCGACAGCTATATATTTTTTTCTCAAATATGGCCATTTAGAGAGAGATGTGTAAATTGTCTGCGTCTGTGTCTCTCTCTACAAACAGTGAAGCGGAGTTTAGTTACCTAAAAAAACTGCGATTTTACCCCCCTCGTTGCTGAGAAATATAATGTAGCGATTCAGTATCGATTAATAAAAGTCGCGTGGCAGCACTGACAACAAGTTTATGAGCTTCTGAATGTTACTTTTTGCACAGCGCGATCTCAGATCTCTGTGTGCGAGTGGTGTGTGTGTGTGTGTGTGTGTGTGTGTGTGCGCACGCACACACATCAATTAAAGCAGCGCATTAATATAGAACGGGAATTAAACTGAACGGTTTTAATGCATTGGCCTTGTCACACACACACATACAGTGATGTTCAGTACGGTCACACTGTATATCTGTTATTCAAAAAACTTTTGAAAATGAAAAAAAAACAAACAAAAAAACAGTGGCACAGTGGTTAACCAGAAAAATTTTAAATGGCACGTCATGCCGAAAAGGTTGCCGACCCCTGCAGTGTGAACAATGCCTTAAAAGACAAGACAAGAAGCAGACAAAACGCAGGCAAAAGAAATGAACCACAGTGTAACTTTAAGACAGTGACTCACCAGTTTGCCACCAGTGATCCAGCACTGGGACTCCAAAACTCCTCTTGGCCCATTCGAGGGTCTCTATATCACAGCGTTCCCCGGCTACAAACAAGTTCCTCAGCCTGCCGAAAGAAGAATTACCGGCTCTTAGAAAGTACGTAAACAAGGGAACTGGGAAATATGTTACATTTGGAAGAACTGAGATTTATAATGAAAGATAAATTATCCATTTTCATTAAGACCTGGAAACCAATAAGACTGTTCTTACAGGCAGACTGAATATATTGGATTACATCTATTTTAATCAAACTGTCTGAATATACACTATTTGGATAGCTGTTGTTGTCATCCATCAGGATAAAAGATTGAATATTAACACTCTGCTGCTCATGTACAACATTACTGATTTTAAAGCACTTGAACTTGAAAACTTTAAAAACCTTCCATTCCTTTTTGGGGGGGGGGGGGGGTTCTAATATAAAGGCTGTTTCAAGAAAATTAAAACAAGAAGTCAGAGCAGCTTCATCCTAAAGACTTTGCAGCAAAGAAATGTAATAAGCAAGAATGCAGGTGTGCATTAAATATTTATTGAACTCATTCTTGTGGTAAAGAAACAAGAAGCACTGACAAGCGGTGTAAAGGTGAGGATTCACTGTTCCTGTCATCAAACTGCCCGCAATCCTCCAACAAGAAATGGATTACAATGTAGCGGGTGACCACATCACATAAATCCTTGCTCAATACAGTAAACTACACCTGTAATACCGTAAATACGCTCACAAGGGAGCAAAGGACAGTCAAAACATCTTTTCATCAATGAGGCATGTTTGAAATGCTAATACTAGGAATAGTGAGTGTTTCGATTGATTTGGTAGCTTGAGAAGCACAAGCTAAGCTGGAAAGTTGATTTATTTTCAGTCTGTCTTTGCATTTGCATTAAAGGGATAGTTCACCCAAAAATGAAAATTCTGTCATTAATTGTTCACCCTCATGTCGTTCTAAACCTGTAAGACCTTCGTTCATCTTCGGAACACAAATTAAGATATTTTTGATGAAATCCGAGAGCTTTCTGACCCTCCATAGACAGCAACACAACTGACATGTTCGAGGCACAGAAAGGTAGTAAGGACATTGTTAAAATAGTCCATGTGACATCAGTGGTTCAACCTTAATTTTATGAAGCTTCGAGCTTCGAAGCTACTTTTTGTGTGCAAAGAAAACAAAAATAACGAATTAATTCAACAACTCCTTCTCTACAATTTTCTTCTCAACAATTTCTACCTGTCAGTCTTCGCTGCGCATTCACCACAGTACCACGAAACATTTGTGTGCATTCCTCTGATTGTAAACAAGGTGCAGCACATGCATATTCTGCATCAGCAGCATCACACACATGCGTGGTACTGTTGTAAATGCACGGTGAAAGCTCAGATCTTCAGAAAGTTCTCAGACTTGAAAAAAAAGTTGGAAAAAAAAACACATTACTATTGAGATTATTTTAATAAAGTAAAACACTTTCTAATAGCATTTCCTGCATTTGGAAGCAAAAGTACCCAAATAGACCAACATTTCTGATACAGCTACTATTTTAAGTAAAATGCTTCATGGCTAATGTTTAGTCAAATAATTAATATGGTTTTATCAATTGGCAATTCACCAAGATGTACTGGATCTGAATGAAACTGATTTGGCACTAAATTTGACCGGTCACAGAAAATTTACTTTAAAATGAAAATAACAGTTGGCTATAAAAAAATAACTGAATCTTTCTGAGCCAGTGTTTATGAGCAAGTAACAGTATTACAGCTGAGTTCCTTTCACTCTTCCACTCCAGGGTCAAACAATGCAGAAACTATTCAATTACCTGGAGTCAAGGTCACAATGCGTGTGATCTGCATAACAATAAGGTGGAGGTCGTTCACTAGCACTCACATTCCCTCCACCCACATCTCACGCCTGTCGTGTTCAGAGACACAATCAGTGGCCATTTCTTTGCTTTTACATACCTGACAAAGGTCACTTGACTCAAACATTGCCAATTCATTAAATATTGGCTTCCTTGTAAGTCATATGCAGGATTTTCCCTCCCTATTTATAAACTTTGTTTCCGACGCACCCGCCAGCAACCATTCAGGTGTGCAAGGGGCATTTATGCAATTTCCATACAGTCATGCAGCAGAAACTTGTTATTACAGTTATGTGTACTGTGTGAAAGCAGCCTTAATTTGATATTTAATGACACAAAAATGTCACAAATGAGTCAGATTGCAGCTCCTCTAAGGAAAAAAAGCTCATGACGAAAAAGAGGGACTTGATGTATATCAAGACAGGATTCATTTACTATATTGTGTGAAAGTGTGTACTTGGGTGAAAAGGTTGTGCTACAACTTTCAGATCTGCAATAAAGTCATCAGTTCGTGTTTACAACTCAACGGATGTATTCAGGAATCCAGGTGTGCATTTCTAATGCAGCGACCTTCTGCAGGTGTGCTTTAACATCGGCCTTATGATCTTGGCGAGAGAGAGAGATGCTGATCTTACAGCGTCACTGCTGAATCTCTGAGCTGGAAAATTCTATTTAGTGGAGTCGTGCCCTCTGGCACGCATTTAAACCCATGTTGAGAGCCGCAGGTTACGGCGCTGATGCGCGAGACACACTCCTGGACTGAGAGCCTGTGCTTTTGTGTGACAGTCATGCATTGCACGGCTCCTTTGGGTTGAGCTAAATTGCCCTTTCTTCCGTCTCATATTGCGAACGTCTTTCGTGCTTATGTGTCATTTAGGTAACAAAAAATAAATGAAAAGTGGGTTATATACTCATTAAGGGTCATTTTAAAGATGCATAGCATAATAATAGCTGATATAGCCAGAGCAAAATAAATACAATTTAAAAGGAAATAATGGTTGTTTATTATTCTAGTGAAAAAATGCATCCTAATTGCTACTATGATTTGTATAAGCCAAGTGCGAAAAAAAACTAGTGATTTTCATGCAGCATAAATATTCCCAAGGTGTCAAAAAATGTAAACGAGCACCATCTAGTAAATGACAAACCCTATTATGCTATTATTGGACAGTAATAATGTTACAGTATTTTCTGATCTAGCTGGGTATGTTTTGTGTTTTATTTTCAAAGGCATATATATTTATGGCTATATCACTAGGGGTGGGTATCTGGGTAAGTTCTATACTTTTAAGCACCGTCCGAATTGCCTCATATTATTGAGTATCGAAAAATGTCTTGTTCGGTACCAAATTTAGATACCCAAGGGGTTAACGTCAGTGAGCCAAAAAGTATGCAGCATGCTTGATGTGCCTAAATCAAGTCTGGTGATTGGTCAAGTCTGGGCGTAACTGCTATAAACAAGTCTGGGCGTAACTGCTATAAACACTAGTTTATAGCAGTTACGCCCAGAGATGTGGCTCACACGCGAAGCTGTACTGTAAGTGTCCAAACACCCATAAATGTAAGGCCATGTTTTTACACTAGTGCGTTTTCATTTTAAAATGGTGTTTTAAAATGAAAACAATCCTTGTCCATACTGGCGTTTCCACTGCGTTCAGAAAAGATCTCCGTCCACACTACATGACCGAAAACGCATGTTACGTGACTATTCATGCACACCAGCTACATAAGACAATTTATAAGATTAATACTACATTTTTACTCAAAACTCACTTTAAACCACCATTGTGTGTTTGTAATAACTTCCGATTGCAATCTAATGTGTGTCTTGGCCATATAATGTTGCTGAAATTGGCTATTTGTAGACTTTTATATCTAGCTAATCACTACACCTGGTGCCCATTCTTCGTACGTCGCTAACTCAGTTAGCTGGATTTGATTGTTGACGATTTGGCATAATCTTGGATAGTTTGGTTCTTCGAAGCTCATCCCGGAGTTGCTGTCATAGCAACAGGTCCGTAAGCTTATTTCATGTAAACAGGATTAGATGGCATCTTTTTAAGCAGAATTGATACTTAAAATCTGTCCGTTACCAACGCTACTTTATTACAAGAGTATCCTACTGATCCAGGGACAATAACTAAAAAATAATTATCATTTAAAAATTAATTTAAAGATAATATAATAATATTGTCTAGTCTTTAATACTATAGACACAGCCAGTTTTACTCACCGAGAGATTTATTCGTCATAATATTATTACTTAATAATTGTATTCGAGTCTTACACACATGCTATACAGATAATGTAGAGTTGTGCATTAATTTGAGTGGTGACAGATATTATGGGAGTGGCTTGATGGAGCGCAGGAGATGCAGATAACATGATCTTGACCCTTAAGAAACTTTAATTAATGCTGTCATGTGACAAATCTGTTCAAATATAAAATTAAATGAATTGCTAATTACATTGAAATAAAAATGTAAAATATAAGAAATCGTGAATATAAATAATTGGGAATCATGTAAAACATTTTAATAAAATAAAAACAGTGCACATTTCATTTATCTATGATTTATGTAGTTTTGTTGGCTTGGCTGTTTCCTTATAAAAGTCCAGAAATTTGTCAAGTTTTTCGTCAGGTGTCTTTTTTAATTATATGATGTCATTACGTTGCTGTCTTGCCGCCAGCCAATCACTGCATTGCTGATCATGGTTTCGAGTATCGATACATAGCCCCTTTTAAACCAACCCATGAACGCGCAATTATCTCATAACTCAATCCAGCCATACTAACCATCAACAACAGGTGTGCTTGAAGAACCGAATTAGCCAGATCCTGATTAGCGCGATGCTATCATCTTGGATGTGTCATTTGATCTCGGATGTAATAAGCGACGTACGAAGAACGAGCCCCTGCTTAGCATTTCTCATGTAAACAAACCAATTTAGAAGTAATTGTTATGAAAATAGGCAGAACCTCAACACATACAAATCACATACTGTCATAATCGTGTGTTTATTAGCTTCATGTTTCATCCGTAGAAATGTTTTTCTGGGTTTCTTCTTTACAGAACTGAAGGCGCAAGAGTAGTGCACAATCGTCATTTGAGACAGGGCGGGTTATGAACGTGTAATATAACTGACATATGAGCAGCGATTGAGCGTCCTCGGAGTCAAAACAGCGATTGCGGAAGAGAAAAAGGCAGACAGCACTGGAATCAGCTAATGCTCATCAGTAAATTAGTGGAAAATTAATAGAAATAATGATTCTGTCTAAGCTGTGCATTTTAAAACACACTAGTGTAAGCGTAGCCTAAAAGCTGTGGAAACTGAAAACTATTTGAACTTTATTAAAACTATTTGTACTGATTTATTGTGTTGGTTACGTTTTGTTCCTTTGTGCAATGTAATCTTGCTAAAGTGCAGGGAATGCAGGGAACAAAAGGAATTGCTGCTCTATAACGCAGATGTGCTTTAGCTTAAATCAAAGCCATAACCAATGAATAGAAGCACTATATTGCTTTACTGAAACACATCCGTTACTATCACCATGGTAACTGCACTTTTTTTTTCTCTTAATGCATTGTCGCACAAACAGCAACAGTGTTTGTAAAAGCAAAATCCACAGCAGAATCAACATCGTAATGTCATTTCTATTAAACTAGGGCTGTTTAGTGTCTATGCATGAAGACATTTAACAATAATTACATTCACAAAAAGATCCATAGACTGCATTTGCTATATTTTGCAATAGAACGTAATGATTTGAGGGGCAAAACAAAGCAGTGTAAACAGACATAATATAAAATGGAAAACTGTATTTAGAGCCATTATATTTTGTGTCTACAATGTTGCTCCCTTACCTCCAGCTAAGCAGGGAAATGACTTAACTAAAAAGAAGAAAAAAAGTACTTCAAGCTCTGCAATATTTAAAAAAGCCACAAAAAAAAGGACAAGATTATGCAAGCTAAAATAAATGTTATGAATAACTGCAACTGTATACCCTGCTTTCCGTATTAATCACTGTTACTTACTGACATCACCATTAACATTACTGGCCATTTATTGCAAAGTCCCACCCATCTGATATCTCACCCAATCAGCTAATAAAGAAGCCTGACTTTTGTGCGAGAAAGAATATACAGACTAAAAGCCTGGTGTGCAATAAATAATTCACCACTTTTTGAAAAATAAATGGACAAACAATGAAATAGTAATGTATAATATTGTATTATACATAATATTTGATAAAAACAATTAACTGCACCAAGACTGATATTTTATAAATAGAGTGGTCCCAAAGTATTTAGACACATTTACAACACACTATATGTTGCATTACATAACAGCAAAACACATAGCATTTATTGTCAAGAAATAGCACAAGAACACCTTTCAAAGAAAATATTTTTAAAAACTGAAGTTTATAGCAAAATATGAAGCCACATACATATTGTTCAAAATGAAGATAAAAAAGTCTTGGGACACCTTCTTTTTGTCAAATTTGTCAATATATTAATAAATAGTGAATTTGAAGGAAATCTATGAAAAATGTCCCACTTTTTATCCACGATAAAAAATAATTAGAAAAAGTGGTTCAGAAAAGTTAGTTCTAAAAAAAAGTAGCATTTGTGTCTAGTGTCTAAAATATTTTTGGAAGCACTGCATATACTGGCAGCCAAGGAATAATAACGATTATTTTTTAATGTTTTTAAATAAAAAAATAAGAAATGTTTCTATAGCAGCAAATCAGCATGTTAGAATGATTTCTGAAGGATTGTGAGACACTGATGGCTGCTAAAAAAATTAAGCTTTGCCATCATGAGAATAAATTACATTTTAAAATATATTCAAATAGAAAACAGCTATTATACATTTGAATAATATTTCACAATATTACTGTTCTCAGTGCATCAAATAAATGCAACCTTGGTGCGCAAAAGAGACTGCTTTAAAAACTTTTGGACATAACTATAGAGACAGAGAGATTATTTGTATATAAATAAACATGTCATACATTTTTAGTTGAAACCTGTATAGAACAAAAACACATTTTGTTAGCTATTATGTGAACAGGTACAGATTTGTGGTTACCTGCTGAGCGGGTACTGCTTCCCGTGTTCTGCCTGAGGGTCTTGTTGGCGAATGGCTCTGATAGCAGTAGGAGCGGTAAACATGGAGGCCGTCCCATGCTCAGACATCACACGGAAAAAGGCCCCGGGGTCCGGAGTCCCCACAGGTTTGCCCTGCAGAAACAACAACTGCTTATAGAATGCATAAATGAAAGACAAATATCTTAAAAAACATGTAAAATGGGTTAATATTAGTTAGGGCTGCACGATATAAATCGCAAATATCGAAATATCGCAAATGTAAATATCGCGATATGCATATCGTAATGCATGCGATATCTGAATCATTTTAATAATAAGCTACTTAAATCAAAACGTTGCAAAAGGTCAAAGTTTCAGTTCGACGCATATAGCAGAGAATTGCTTGATGTTAAAAAGAGTTAAGTGCAATAAGTTGCAGAAAACAACTCTTTGCCATCTCGTCTTGCTGTCACACGCGCACACAGAGAAATGCGTTTCAGATGGCACGCAAACACCGAGTTGATTCGTCTTTCGCATCTCCTCCTCCTTATGTTTGAACAGACATGTACACACAGAATTATGTCAATAGTACCCATCATGACGATCATTCCTGTAAACGCAGTCGGTTATGTTTTAAATGAATGTAAACAGCTAAAAAAAGAAATCGGATGTGTATCATTATACTGGGTCAATGCAGTCGGATTTAAAGGAACAGCAGCCTATAAATACTGCTGCTGAATATGTCACTAAGGTTAACCAAACAACAAAACAGCTATAACAAAGATGAATCTAAATTTAATTCATACAGTGAACACTATGCAGTGTTATTTTACACTTAATTATTAAATTGTCTGTACCTGAATACTACTGTTTATTTGATCTATGCTTGTAAATTGTGTATATGTTCCCCACCCCCCCACCCCTTTTTCTTTCTTTTTTTTACTGACTGTTCACTTGCCTTTAATCATGTATGAACTTTCTCAGACTATAGTTTTTGCTGTGGTATATGAAGAAGTACTTAAAGTGTATGGAAAGCAAAGTCACAATGATATAAAATTAGTGTCATTCATTTTTTTTGTCATTCACATTGATGTTAAAATTACATTTTCTGATTTGTAGTGGTATAGTTGTAGTGAATCTTTCTTTTCCAAGAAAGAATGTGAAACAAATTGGTTATATAATTTTCATTTTTAAATATTTTAAAATATAATTTAAATAGATTTTTCACACTTTAAGCAATTATCGTATCGCACATCGAATACCGCATTTTTTAACAAGGTATCGCGTATAGCATTTGTTTTCAATATTGCACAGCCCTAATATTAGTCTTAAATGAATATTATGCAGGGGGAAAAAATCCTAGAGAAAGTCACAGCATTGTATTTCCTACAGAAGTTGCTAAAGTTCGATATTTTGTGCAGCCCTTTGTTGCAATTTTTCCAACATTTTGGAAGTGTACACAAGTCTTCCGGTGTCAGACTGGATCAGCATGGGCATTTGCAGCGGTTGGGGAGTGAATATTAAATCAAGGATGTGTTTGAAATGGAGAGTGGCTTGGAAAGGTTCCTGGGTGGCAGATGGGCCAAACGTATGGCAAAGAAACAGAATAATACCGTTGCAGAGAGATTGCACACTCAAGTAGCATTTCACAACACTGAGCTGTTCAAATATTCATGTTTCTGCCACGCTTCTCAGAGAGAACGCTCTCAAGACTAAACAATGACTTCATATTAGCGGGGACAAATCAAACGGATAACACATGAATCTCATCTCGTTTCTAGAACAGCGTTTGTGTGTATTTCAGTGAGGGGGAAAAATGGCCAATCAATTTCAAATGCTTGGATATGTCTTAGGCAAGCTTTGATCAAAGAAAACGAATAATTATTGTGACATTTAGGTGTTGATATAGAAACAAAAAGATCAGGTCTACGGCTGATTGATTCCAAATAAAGAAAGTGAGGGGGAAAAAAACAACGTCTTGCAAGGATTAATTGTTTAACTGAACAAGAAAACAGGTCTGTACTTGATTTGCAATGTACAAAACAAGAATCTGCATCTGTCGCACGTCGGTGTCAATCAGTAATTGGCAGGCATTTAATGTTTGTTTTGTTTTTCCCACTGAATCACTTCTTTTTATGTCATATAAATCATCCATCACTACACTGGGGGAAAAAATTGGAAGTTCAATGTTATTTGTTGTTTCTTTGTAATTATTTGTGAAATTTACTAGACATTTCTGAGTGAAAATTGTCTCAAAGTAAACCATACACCCATTTATTCAGTTTAGGGTTAGTGCTAGAGAGCTAATTGGTCATTGATCGTGTGATCTGGGTAGTTACTTACTGGCCCAAGTTAAAACAGCCCACAGTCTCAATATTATGTTGTTGTTTTGCCCATTTTATAGTCCACCAGGAGAAAACAATATGATGACCAGCTGCTTCGAAAGTAAAAGCCCACCTATCCTGTCATCTTATCCTGAAAATTGTCCTCCTTTACTCACCCTCATTTGGTTTTAAATTGGTATGATTTTGTTTGTAACACAAAAGAAGACACAGTGAGTTCCAAACAACATTGGATCCCATTAACTTTCATTTTATGGAAAACACTTTTTCAAAAACACCTTTACAGATCTGGGATAACACGAAGGTGAATTAATGAGGAAAAACATTTTCAGTTTTGGGATCTTTTTTTAACCCCAAGCATTAGCAATGATAGGTGAAGCATGCTATTTAAGTTGTTAAATTGAAGTCTGTGGACATTTTATAGAAAAAAAGGGTAACACTTTAGTATAGGGACCAATCCCCACTATTTCCGTATTAGCATGTACATTATCAAAATATTGGCTGTTTATTAGTACTTATAAAGCACATATTCTGCATGAGCACATTCCATATCCCTATTTCTACCCAATACCTAAACTTAACAACTACCTTACTAACTATTAATAAGCAGCAAATTAGGAGTTTGAGGCAAAATTCGTAGTTAATGGTTTGTTAATGGTGAGAATTGGACCTTAAAGGGGAGATAACACACACAGTTTCACCTCATGTTAATCTTGAGTACCTATAGAGTAGTATTGCATCCTTTATATCTCCAAAAAGTCTTTAGTTTTATCATATTTATAAAAGAAAGATACAGCTTTACGATTTTCTCCGGAAAAAGCCGAGCTCCTGGAGGTGCGCCATGGGCGGAGCTAAAGATTGACGAGCACTAGAGCTCCGACTGCCAACAAAATACAGACATTTGATGCGGTTTCACTTACCGTCTACAATTCTGAATCATGACTGGGATCTTTTATAGCGCGACCGCTCCATCCTTCAGTATCAAACGATGTGCAAATCCAGCATCGAACTGGGCCTTGCTTATAAAACGTTCGTCAACAAACACACTTGAGAAACTCCGTTGCTGCTCCGGAAAAACAAACTGCATCCACTGTTTACATAACGTTGGGTTCTTTAGGAAGCTGAACAAAGTTATCTTTCCCTTACAACCAAAAGCACACTTCTTTGGAGACATTCTTCCCGAACGAGTCCCGTGCAGCGCTGTCGCCGGATGAAGCGCGTTGATGGGCGCGCTCTTGCTCTCGCTCTGGTCGATGCGTGCGCGGGCGCACTCTTCCGGGAGAAATGCCCATATAAGGAGTTCCACCCTCGTCTACGTCATGAACAGCCACGATCGGAAAAAAAACTCTCCGAAACTTGTACGAACCCGGACGTAAGATTTTTAGCACAGAAATAATCCGTCATACATCCAAATTGTTTTTTGAAATTTTGTCCATGCTTAGCATGAGAATCCAACTCTTTAACAGTGTAAACAACTCTGAATGCATGAAACCGCATTGTACCCCCCTTTTAAAATAAAGTGTGACCAAAAAAGCTATTAAAAATGAATGAAAAAAATGTTGCACTGGACCAATATATATATATATATTGTGGTATGCACTACACACAAATAAACTTGATTATTACACAGCTCTCTGAAATGCTCTATTCTGATTGGTCATTTGTGACAATTTGAGGTCAGTTATTCCCCAATAATGACCATCATCAATAGCACTGCTATAATAATTGCTCCTCCAGGTATTTGAGGCCAATTTGCCAATATTTTAAAAAAATAATTTGTAATATTACACAATTTTCTTACATAGTATGAATATTTTACAAACCAAGGGGATCATTATATTTGGGTTTACTAACATCAAAAAGTTAAAAGCCTTTCCTAAGCAAACACCACTGCTTAAGATCGGGTTTGGCATGTTGACAGAATAAAATAGAATAAAATTATTAGGCGCGAACCTACCATGGATGTGCATAGTTACAAAAGACATTAATTAAAACAGACTGAAGGCTTTCTGCTATGATATTGACTTTGTATGAGAGATCTGTTGAAATCAAACTTCTATTACAGCAGACTAATAAATTCTGTGAGCAACTTCCATTTTCTCCTGTGGAGCGAGACAACACATCTAATCAGCAGAGGCGACGCCAATGCTGAATTCACCTTGACAAGAAACCAAACACACTCTGATCGCCTCCCATCGAGTGCAAATGATTTTAGTATTCATGCTGTGATCTCAGTGAGGGGAACTAGTTTAAAACTATGAGAGCTGCTCTGTTACAATACAAACGCTTATGAAAAGCAACAGTGAATGCACAACAACTTCAACTGAGCCAATGATTCAGTAAGTTTGCTGTAGAGATTCATTCATCCTTGCATTCAATCCCTGAGAGAAAAGACTGCTAGAGCCTAAAAAACTTCACAGTACAGACTTAGGAGACCTCAGCTCAGCATGAGCGTCAGGATCTGGTAAACCACAACAGTAGATAATTGAGTGTTAGCTAGTGTGGTCCATAGGTCAAATGCTTTAACACATTCACACTCACACATTTTTTGTCCCGTACCTCGTAGAGCACAGTGGTGTTGCCATGTAGAAGTGGACCGTAGCAGATATATGAGTGGCCCACCACCCAGCCAAGGTCAGATGCGGCCCACCAGACCTGACAGAGAGAGATGTGTAGGTTAAATGGTGCGAGACAGTGTGAAATGTATGACAGTGTCATACATTTATCACAATTTTTTCCTGTTGTTCCAACCCTGACATGGTCATTATTCCGTGAACAAAAAATATTTGTAAATAATTTGAATGTGTATCTTTTAACAGGCAGTTTTTTGCCACTATTCCATTAAGACAACAATGTAAACACTCTCTTCTCACACAAAAGAATTTTAACACATTTTATTTGCAAAATAGTTTGCGCTGCCCCATTTTGCAAAAACAGCATTACATTTTGACAGGGTCAACCAAGGTTAGACTAAAACAATCAAAAATGTGTTAAAAATGAACTTTCCGAAGGTGCCACCAAATTAGTGAAATTTCCGCTGAATTTTGCAGGCAAAAAGTCCATTGTCTAATGTTAATAGTGTAGATGTATGAACACAGCTCACACAGAAGTCACATTCAAATCATGTTTTCTATTGGTCAGCGTGGCAAATTCACATGACCAGCTTCAACCCCTTGCAAAATATATTTGTGTAAAATGTTTTGCCCTAATGCAAATTTCAGATGGGTATTCCTAATAAATTGACTGGATTTCACCTACAAAAATTAACCTACAATACAGTCCTACAGTTGGGAAAGCAGAGCGGAAGGTGCTACACAATTTACTTCTTTATATGCCATTTAATGCAGCTTTTTAATGAACCTTTTAACCAACACACTTTTTCAACTGGGGAGGAAGTGTTTTCAAAGTACATCAAATCTCTTTTCTCAAAACATCAAGGACAATTTAATTGACCCCTTGTGAAAATCACAGATCATGACCTACCTCACTAGGAGCTAGTCCGTAAACATTAGACATAGTCCAGTTTAACATCACGGCATATCCTCCTGAATCGCTGACTACACCCTGATGAGAGCAAAAGAGGAAAAAAAAAATTGTGATTCCATTATAATATTATTATGCCGCTTAAATTGTAATCCCCCATTAACATTTAAATTAGGCATTTTTTTACGCAACTGTGGAAATGCCATGAAATGTGAATTTTTCAGTGTCTCTTTATTGTGCAGCAATGCATTAAGCCACACTTTAACTTTTTATTCATGTAAAAATTTATACATAATTATTCCATAATATTCTAATATTCACACCAACAATGATACTGAGATGGCAGGCTTACAAAAACCATGAATGGAAAGTGGACGATACATTTTTGAAAGATGATTTTACTGCTATTTATGATTAATTAAATTTCTGTCATGACAACTCTCAGAGGGATTGGCGTGGTAATGTACACGACAATGTTAATTTGTTTGGTCTTGGCAGAATAGATCTGCTACGCTGCTGCGGCAGAGCAAGTACAGAGATTAGCTACTGCCAATACATCCACAACATGCTGCTGTGAGCATGTAAGAAATACTGTTGCACATATAACATATATGAAATAACCCCCATAGCATACATAAATCACCTCGTAGCAGATCTATACAGGTGGAGGGTTTCTGAAGCGCGCTGCAACTGCTACAGCAAACGTACAGCCATGTATTTGAATGTTGAGCAGCGAGCTCATTGGCTGCTGATAAAAAAAAGAACCAATCAACTGAGCCATGTGGTAATGATGGCATTATGTCAGATTGAGTTTTACCTATCGGACTGCGCCATCTAGAGTTTCATGCCAGAACTTTGGATGTGTCCTTGTCTAATAAAACTTTACATTTCTTTCTACCAAAAAAAACCTCCTGAATTATACTGTAATAATAATAATAAAGTATAGTAAACACAGAACAAAAGTCAACTTTAATATTATGGCAACACATAAGCCTTCATTTTATTTGATACTTTTATTATTCATGTAAATAATTATTCTAGCCAATCTTTGTTTACAAAGCTTTTAAGACAATCATGTATTTTATTGTATTCATCCAAGTTCAGCATGAAAAAATTACATCAAGGTGTGTGTAAGTATATGAGATGAACAAAACACAATTAGTTAATTAATTGCCATTATTCATATTACAATTCATGTTGTCCCTACTGTCAGTAAATCATTAGCAAATCAGGCTGAGGGTTAGGGTTATGACGGTGAGGAAATTTTCCCACTGGTTAATCGACGTGTGACAACACCGATAATACTGGTATCACTGCGGGGGCAGGGCGTTCCCTCTTTTCCTAGCTTTCCTTTCGCTTTTAAATAGCTTGTAAAAGCGGCGTGCACATTTTACTTTCACTTTCAAATAGCGGCAATTCGGCATAAAGCAATTGTTCGTTTTTAGTTCGTTTGAATTTTCCCTTTTTTCCTTCGCTTTTAAATAGCTTAAAAGCGCCGTTCGCATTTTACTTTCACTTTCGAATTAGCGGCAATTCAGCGTAAAGCAATTGTTAGTTTTTAGTTCGTTTGAATTTTTCCTCGCTTTCCTTCACTTTTAAATAGCTTAAAAGCTCCGTGCGCATTTTACTTTCACTAAGTAAACATGTATAATATATAACCAAATAAATAAGAAATGTAGAACGTTTATTAGCAAAACCAGCAAGAAAGCTTGGACATCACGGCATACACCTTGATGTCAAATAAAATAAATAAATGACACAAAGTTTAAATAAAGTAAAAATCAGCAAACAATGTGGAACCAATCAAATAAGAAACAAATGTTTAAAAAAACCTTCCAAAATCACCTTAGATAAACGGCAAAAGTCAACAGGCTTTTCAAAATCCAAAATATTGCCAAACTAAATCATCCGCCATCGTCTTGTCTGTCTCACCTCACTCTTCTTGTCAGTCAGCTGGACACACTCTCCTCACTGGAGAAATGAAATCTGATCTGTGATGCGACTGTCGTTCGGCATGCTGCATTGAGCAGCCGCGTTCAGTTTTTAATTGTAGTGTCTGTTCTTTTACTGAACTAAATTATTTTAATTACTATAAAAAATCTAAACGACAGTGGGGGTCGGTGCCGCGGTGGGTAAGTGACGTAACCGGTGTTGCGCTTAACACCGGTATCACCGTCGGCACCGTCTATCGCGGCAAGCCTACTGAGGGACACATTTTGAGTTGTAAGAAGGTAATTAGATCCTGTGTGTGCCAAACACATAAATCTGAGGTGTGTGTGTGAGCGAGGACGGCCTATTAGCAAGAGGTTTATGTACAGGGCAGCGTTGCCTTGGGCCAGATATTTTAAAGGAAAAGAAAAAAAAAAGGATTTCATACTGGCTGGAGTCTGGGTCAGTGGAGAGCCGTATTTTGTTCGGTCTGCCTTCAGGCTTTATAACTTCCTCCTGTGCTCCTTGTACTCTCGTCGCTTGCCTTGCCTCTTTTTCAGTCAGAGTACATATAAAAGTGAGTTGTTAAAGATTGAACAGCACCTGAGGCATGCTAATGTAAATTTCAAGGTGCTGTTCACCTCTTGGACAATATTAAATGGACAAAATAAAATGTTACTTAGGGGTGGAACCATAATAGAAAAAGCAAGCAGAACAGCAAACAGGCTTTGAAAATGGACGGGACCTAATGGCCTGGACATTTGCCTGGATCATGTCACTGTTACAAGTTAAAGATTAAGGGGTGGTTGATATATGATGATCAAATATCCACAATATATTTGCAATTATCTTGCTGGTGATAAAAAAAAAAGCTCTGTGAATACTGCAATGATTTTAAGGCTTTTTTTTTTTTACTTGACACTGGATGTTTAAATTGCAACCACCAGCAGCTTGAAAATTCCCACTCAAGCCAGCTGCAACAAAAATACTGCTTATTAAAATAATTACGGTAATTTGCAGGAAGAGCAAAGAGAGGCGCTTTCAGTGTTTCTTTCAATGAATTTGATCAGCAAGTATTCACATAATGACAAAACCTTAAATTAGGAGTTCATTGTTTTTTGTACATTAACACTGTCTTACTGTAACAATATCCTATAGTCAGCAGCATTTTAAGGAATAGTGCAGATGTTATTTAAAAATGGTCACCACTTCAATTTGTTCCCAGAAAAATTTGTGGTATTATCCATTTTATAAAGTGTTTTTGTAAAGATATAAGTAAATATTTCTTTTTATTACAAATTTAATCTGAAAACAAACCAAATACTTAGTATTTACATGGTACTTCAAGATACAAAGCCAAAACATATGGCAATGTCATAGCATTTTTGGTACTTTTTTAGCAAAAAGCCTGGAAAGCATCAGGCAACATCACAGCCGCAGGCTAAAGCCTTCATACTAAAACGAGCACCTTTCTTCTTATCTTGAATACACAGAAAAATTTATAAAGGCGTATTGCTCACGGTCTCTAGCTAACACACTATGTAATAAACAAAGCCCCTTACAGAATAGATCTATTCCACAGTAAACAATTTCACCCATTCCCTCAAGCTCTGTGCTTTATCGCTGTGTTCTGTCATAAACAAGAATTTACCTTTGGAGTACCAGTAGTGCCGGAGGTGTACAGGACGTACAGAGGATGATGAGCGGGGACGGACACACAGTTGTGAGGGCGGGCAGTGGCCATTTCCTCCTCCCAGTCCAAGCTCAGGTCAGGATGCAGAGACACCTTTTCCTGTGGGATAAACACCCGTGCTTAGGAACAGGATGATTAGAGATTGATTTCCTAAAAAAAGAAAATTCTGTTATCATTTATTCACCCTCATGTTGTTCTAAACATGTATGAGTTTCTTTTGTTTTGTGGAACATAGAAGATATTTTGAAGAATAATGGTAACCAAAAAGTTTCTGTTCTCAATGGCTTCCATTATATGGATTATATGCAATCAATGCAATCTAAAACTGTCTGGTTGCCAACATTCTTCAAAATAGTCACACAGGTTTGGAACGACATCAGGGTGAGTAAATAATGACAGATTTTTGGGTGGACCATCAAATATTTAATAACTCAGTTTTCATGAGTCATTCTGTAGTGCTTTTGCCAATTTTATTAGTTTTTGCTTTCTAATAGTTTTCATTTATCTTTCAGATTTAGTAACTTTATTACTTACTTCAGATAGACGACTTTTCTGTGTAGAAATATATCTAATATTGTGTGTATAGTATCTAATATTTAGAGTTTCAATTAGCAAAAATGTTTTAGTCTTACTTTTTTTAGTCCAGGCAGAAGTAAAAATTATTTTGTTCCAATTTTTTGGGAAGTTCAAAGTGTCTAAGGTGCCTAAAAGGAATAGTTCACCTAAAAAAATTAATGTTGCCATGATTTATGCATGCTAATAAGGTTTCAAAGCTGTATGGCTTCCTCTTTTTTCTACCTCTCTTTTAGGCAAACCCTTTTTTTTTTTTTAAAGTCATATGGACCACTTGGGGGTTTCACTGCTCCAACAAATCTCAAAAAGCATGGGTTTCTCTGGATTAGTGTGTTATTTGCTATTTGTTGTGTTAACTCCAATCAAGTAGTTCTGAATATCCTAAAATCTTCTGTAAATTAGATTATACCATGTAGAAATCTTCTAAGAACTAATACAATGTGTACTCTGAGTGTCTTCTGGTGCTGGCAAATTCTCCCCTCGCATATGATTTTAACTCAAATATTTCCAAGATGTGTCTTCACCAACCATGCGGGATTTATCCTGTATCCCAAACTGCTGGAAAATCAAAAGGCTATTTGCTAACAGTTTCCATGACAACACAGGATGAAGTTTAAGTAATTCCCTGCGTTGTGAAATCAACATACTGATTCTAGATGTCGCAACATGAGAAAACTCATTTAAGAGACATTAAAACAGGAAAAAGACTCTAGAACTCGTCGAAATGCTGAAGGCTTTGAACACTTGATATCCTAATAATTTTTTGAGTGGTATGTTATTGCAGCTATAAAAATGACTAACTTCCTCCTACAATGATTGATATTGGTTAAGTGCCAGCCTCCTTGAGAATAAGGACGTCAAGATTGAATTTTGAGGTACTCTTTTTTTAGAAAAGAGACCACATTTGCATTTTTATTCTCTCACTGCATTATCTTCTCTTTTAACATTTAATAGGCAGCGGAAAGTGTGCCAGTTTGACAAGACTAGCATCCAGGTGCCAGGTTCTGGGAGCTCACCATGCTGGGACGGTTGTAGATGAGGACTTTGTGTGGTTTGTGACTGCTGAGCTCCAGAGCTTTCTCTACCAGGGGAATGTACTCCACTCTTCTGCCCGGCTCGACGCCAAATGATGCTGTCACCAGCAACTTGGGCTGTGGGGGAAATAATGATTTAAGAGGGGAAGTGGATTTTGCAATCTCAGCAGATATATGCATTTATAAAAATAGTTTTTTTGTTATTCATTTTCATTAAAAAGAACAATGGCTTGCCTTAGCATGGTCAATGCGGACGGAGAGCTCTTTGGAGGCGAATCCTCCAAATATGAGGCTGTGGGTGGCACCAATACGGGCACATGCCAGCATGGTGAACATGGCCTGAGGAACCATGGGCATATAGATCACCACCAGGTCACCCGTCTTCACACCATGTCTCACCAGGACACCCGCCAACCTAGACGCCTACAAAAAGGTGTTGATGCTGAATTTTATGAACAAACTGGTGTCATATTAATCAAAACAACAGAAAACACTGAATGCAAACTGGTCCAGCATTTTGGAAGAGGTTCTTGTTTTCAAAGGTGAAGATGTGGTCACATTTAACATCGTTTGGCAAATTTACGTAGATAAAATCCAGTCATTTAAATAGGAATCCACACAATTCCCAATCTCGCAAATTCCTATTGAAATGACTGAATTTTGTCCACAAAAATTTCCCCATGCAGATTTTGCAATCGGTTCAAGTTGATCGTGGATGTGCATTCTGATCAACAGAAACTGTGCCTTCCATACATCGCTACACTATTGACAATACACATTTTTTTGTCAGCCAAATGTTGCTAATGTGACTGCATTTTCAGTGTTTTACCTGCTCCTGCACTTCTCTGTATGTGATGACCTGTTTAGTGCCGGTAACCGGACTGTCATAAATGACAGCTGCTTGATCACCTCTTCCATTCTCCACATGCCGATCAACAGCATTATAACACATGTTCATCTTTCCTCCAACAAATCTGGAACGAAAACAGATGAATTGTTGAACTAAAAGTAATACTCATATTATCATACCCTAATCATGATGAACATGATTAAAATTACATTTAGTATCATGTACTAATCATTATTAATTTAACCCTTGCGCGTCAATTTAAAAAAAGTTACACATAGGTTCATAGAGGACAAAAATGCCTATGTCAAAAAAAAGTTAAGCTTAGGAGTACAGATTGAAGTTTGGTCTCATTTCAAAGAAGACCCTTGGCAGATTATTGTTGATTATTAAAAAATTGATACCAAAAAAGTTTATGAAAATGATTTATGAGCAATTTTGTATATAAAATACATATTTTATAAAACATTTTGAACTCAAAAATTGACAGAAAATCAAAGCCATAAATCTAAACAAGTTGTGTTCCAAATTTGAGGTTGATATCTCAAAAAAAAGAGCTTTTAGTAAGATTTTGTTTGGGTGCAGTACCAAACTTTTCCCATTAGATTCCAGTAAAGCTCCGCTGGCATACACGGCAGTGGGATTTGTGATTCGCAGTAGAGTATAATTTCTCTCTCTCAAACATTACAGGTGCGCACATACAAAAACTGAATTTAGGACACACATACAAACCACACTCTGACATCCATACCAACACACCCACACAAATATAGCTGCATAATTTACTCTATAATAGACTATAATAAGCATTAGAAGAAAACAGGAATAAAGTGAGTATTTGCTTTATTTGCCAAACTTGAAAAAAATGGCAACATCTAGTAAAAAATATGGCAAAAAATGCCAACAGAATGAAACCCTATTAGCAAATATTGCATCATTTTATAGGCCTAGTTAAGTGGCCCTGGGATTAAAAAATGCAGTTTTAATGGGTTTCAATGAGGACATTTTTGTCCTTAAAGTCCTGAGAGGAACTATTTTTTGTACCTAGTGTAAAATAGATTTATTAAAGGAACGGAGGGTGAAATATTAAAATTTACAAATTCACACCTTTGCCTAAATTTACGCAGTTGCCTGAATAAGACAAAAAAGTCTTTAAATAAGGGTTAAATAAAGTGTAACAGTGCCGGTCCAGTTTTTCAGCAGCCTGGGTTCCAGAAGTCTTTTTCCCATTTTGCCAAATATGTATATACACTCATATTTAAGCTTAGGGAAACTGACGCTACAGTATGTCATGTCATTCACATGTTTAATGGGAGTTGTTGAGTGCTAAAGAGTTCTTTTGGCGTGATTTGCTTTGCAGAATCATAGGTAGTCGTTTTTCCTCCAATTACCCTATGGAGAAAATGAATGGGATTTTTACTTCAGGAACTTATAGGGGTCATATGATGTTACTAAAAAGAACATTATGTTGTGTATTTGGTGTAATGAAATGTGTTTATGCAGTTTAAGGTAAAAAAACACACATTATTTTCCACATACTGTACATTATTATTTCTCCTCTATGCCCCGCCTTTCTGAAACGCATCGATTTTTACAAAGCTCATCGGTCTGAAAAGTGAGGTGTGCTGTGATTGGCCGAATACCTCAAGCGTGTGACGGAAATGTTACGCCCCTCACATACTGTGACGCCGTCTCCCCACACGACAAGACAAAACCAATAAAACACATTATAAATGAGGCATTTGTTGCATCCAGTGGGGACATAACTACAGATTATAATGACTTATGTCATTATAATCTTAATGTCTTTTTATGCGCTGCATTGCATCGCGCCACGTAAACATAAAACCATGTCTGCATTTGTGATCGGAGAAATGACAAACAACAAGCCCTACTCTACACTGCTCAAAACTTGCGTTTGAATCATCAGTGGCAAATCCTTTAAATTAAAACGTACTTACACTCTGTGAGTCAGAACAGCCGGCATTGTAGTCTACTCTCCCAGGATCAGGAAACAATCCTCCATAAAATACGCTGCACACATCTGAATATTTGGGTTGAACTGTTCTGGAACAGTGTTGTAAATACAACTTAACCACTGATTTCTAGTCGTGTCCTTCCAAAAGAGCTGGCGGCTTGAGTGAGCGGAGGCAGGCGGGCTTGCTGCAACACATGTGACGACCCCGGGCTGGACTCCGCTTCGTCCACGGTGAAAGCCGATCCGACGATCCACAGCGCGAAGTTGATGTATTTCCTCAGCGACCAGCACGGATCAGCTCTAGGCATGACGAAGCAAATATCGTCCTCTTTTGGAAGGCCAAACAAAGTAGTTTCACTTTCACAACGAAACACACGGCAGCAACAATACTACAGCGAGAATCAAAGTTACGCCTTCTTTCTTTGCGTGAACATTTGGGCGGCGTTATGCAAATCTTCCCACATCGTGACGTAGACATGTGGGGGCGTGTTAGAACGAGCCATTTTAGGTAGGAGTGGTTGACTCTAGGGCTGCACGATAAATCGCATGTTTAATGCACATCTTATCAGTAAAGCCAGTTCTGTAATCAGCGGTAAATCTCCAAATCTGCTCGTCAGTGAACAACGGCTCTGTGTAGTTAATGCTGCTCAATGTGAAAGCACGCAGGTGATGGAGATTTACCGCTGATTACAGAACCGGCTTTCTGACAAGATGCGCATTAAATATCGCATGCGATTTATCGTGCAGCCTTAGTTGACTCTTAACTTTAATAAAGAATCTCTCTTTGGATTTAAGACTTTAGTCTTTGCACCTTTACAGATCTTCTTTATGCACCAAGAGCTTGTAACACTCCAAAGAGAATGGAAAAACTGAAATCGCATCATATGACCCCTTTAACCCAACTGCTCTATAGCCTATTCATAGACATTTAACATTTTGACCCTCCAAGACACTAGATGGCAGAAATGCATTTGAAATGCAAAATTTACATCAATACATGTGTCAGATGACAGAACCACGGAAAATCCTCATGCTAGACTGCATACATCTGTCTATTCACAGCTCACTAAGAAATAACACCATAAACTTAGTCACTCTGTGCAACTGCTAAATTAATAAATACGAAAAGCCTGTCTTAAATATGTGTTAGTTGACCGCTTAAATGTTACTAAGATTAGGAAACAAAACAAACCAAAGAGAATGGAAAAACTGAAATCGCATCATATGACCCCTTTAACCCAACTGCTCTATAGCCTATTCATAGACGTTTAACATTTTGACCCTCCAAGACACTAGATGGCAGAAATGCATTTGAAATGCAAAATTTACATCAATACATGTGTCAGATGACAGAACCACGGAAAATCCTCATGCTAGACTGCATACATCTGTCTATTCACAGCTCACTAAGAAATAACACCATAAACTTAGTCACTCTGTGCAACTGCTAAATTAATAAATACGAAAAGCCTGTCTTAAATATGTGTTAGTTGACCGCTTAAATGTTACTAAGATTAGGAAACAAAACAAACACAAAAAAGTGGGCTCACATTCTATGCGTCTCATCTGCGCTGTTTTTGATTGGTCTAGATATGCGTCAGGGCAGACAGACGTCATTCCGTAGCATCGCGTTCCATTCGCGTCGCGTTTTTAAAAGTGGGCGCGTCACGTTACAAGGAAGATTACAATTATATAAATTTTCGCTAAACATTAAAGTATTGTCATCGTTTACTCTCCCTCGATAATTTAACAAACACCCCGACACACTCTCTCTCTCTTCAGTGAAACTCCAAAAGAAGTTATGCAGAATTCTAGGGACTTGCAGTCATGACAGGCTCAGTCACTATTCACTTTCATTGCATTTTTCTTCCATACAATGAAAGCGAATGGTGACTGAGGCTGTCATTGCCCCTCACATCATTTTTTGTTGAACTATCCCTTTAAAAACCCCTACTTTCACTTCAATTCTGTTACCGTTGACTGCAAAAGCCAATATGTCAACGCCCGCTAATGTATAAACTGCACTTACCATTTTGGAAACACTGTATCCGTATCATTCAGAGTTCGAGTCTACTGTTCAAACCAAGTGATACCTTCTGCCGCTTCACTCCAGAACTCCTCAGGATTGTCACGTGCCAGGCCAAACGCGTCTTCGTATGTGTATTTTAATGAAAATGCACGAATAAATTGTTTCCTGTATGTGCTAAAAGCTATGTTTGGCGTATAAACCAGCGGTTTACACCCATTCCAGATATTTGTCTTTACCTTTTGCAGGTAACACGGTCCAGACACACCTGTGCATGATAACTTCAGACCCAACAAACATCTTGAACCTACAGCACTCACTGTTTTGTTACTTTCTCTAAGTCTAGACACCGTTACATTTCCAATGCAGATGTGTTTTTAACGCATAGTTTGGTAAAGGCGCATGTTTGTTGTGTTTTATTATTCGTCGTCGCGTCGTTTCAGCTCCAGTGATTGCTGACGCAATAAGTGAGCTGCACGTTTCTCAACTCAAAAATGGCCAGGCAATAATTCAATACTTCAGATCACAGCCAGAGGCCACTCCAAGATTCTGCAATCCATGCAATGTGATCGTTACGTAATGTTGGGGCTTTCTGAGGTGCCCTGCATGATTTATGAAACACAATGTTGAGCAATGCTATAGTCTGCATATACATGCTTTTGGGAAAATAGCCTACCAGGAGTTTTCAAACTTTTTAATGCAAAGAACCCTCAAAAATGAAGGCAGCAATATATTTTCACATATGCAGGCCAATTTAAACGGTTTAGGAACAAATGTTATGCGTGGTTAAACATGTAAAACCTGACATATGAAATATGAAATACAAATTTAAAAAGTTTGCATACTGTTTGTTGTTGTTGTTGTTTAGTATTATCTTTGAACTTTTATGGCTCATACAGTATTATTATTACAGAATATAGAAGAATATGGAGTTCATGCCGTTTTATTCAGAGGCCAAAACTTAGGAAATTTGGTACAGTTTATGATATTTATATGGCCAAAATTTTTGATTACATTTTGATAGCTTGTAATGTAAATCAATGAGATTCTATAACAGCGTAGCAGACTAAATTGGAAATGTAACGGTGTCTAGACTTAGAGAAAGTAACAAAACAGTGAGTGCTGTAGGTTCAAGATATTTGTTGGGTCTGAAGTTATCATGCACAGGTGTGTCTGGACTGTGTTACCTGCAAAAGGTAAAGTGATTATTCGTTGAATAATGTGCAGTATATACTACTGTATAGTATTTCTTTCAGAAAAAGTATGTGAAAAATAAAGCATTAAATGACAATAAAACATAACCTAATCCCAAGTTTAATTCAGTATTATAAAACTGAGCATTTATATATCACCCTACTAAGATATAGTAGGATGATATATAAATGCTTAGCTTTATAATGAAAGCTATAGGCTATGTCGTTTATATTGTTGTGGCAAAATATGCAATGCAATTATGATTGAGAGATACAAAAAAAAAACGTTACTCAAAAGCCTGTTGTATCATATTTGATACACTTCAACATGATATAAATGTTCTTCTTGAAATATTAATAACAATATAAAAGATTTCACAGCAAAAAGACATATGTGTACCATGACCTGAACAAGGGGAAATATTTAGAATGATACTAAAAGCCCTTTCACTTACTAAACTGTAGAAACTATCAATCAGAATACACAAGGCACATATATTGTGTGCCGTTTTATATCATGTTGAGAATTAAGAGACCAAATTAGTTTATCGGATACAGTAGGGTTAAAAAGACAACATGTGGTTTCCAAAATTAATCTGGCTTTTATATTGTCACTGCACTGGAGCAAAAAGCTAATTATTAAAATATTATGTAGGAACAATTTTCTTTGTAATATCCTGACAGTCTTTTCTACTCTGAGTACCGTTGGCTTCTAAACAAACAGTATTGGTACAGTATTTTTCATAATATTTTACCAAAGCAGATTTGCCTTAAAACCCAATTGAGCAAGCTGAAGGCAACAGTGAACTCCCTATAAAAATACAACACTACAAACTATTCATGAAAGCATGTAGATTGTAAGCAAGCAAGGAGATGAAATAAAAATATTATTTTTGTCTTCAGTTTTGTCTATGGACTGATTATTCCTAAGTCTTTAGAAAGAATGAAAGACCATTAAATGTTTTTTTGTTTTTTTTGGTCTCTGAAATTTTACAGTCAAATCAATGACACAGAAAAATATTGTATTGGAAAACCATGCTGCCTGGTTAATGAGAGCCCATGGTCAATAAACACAATCAATTGGGGCATTGGGATGAAGTCACTCCAACCTGTACTGTAGCCCATATTTACACACTTGGTGGTTTGCCTTAAGATGTTTGAAACCAATCATGAATACTAAATGCTTAAATATGGAAGTAAGGGAACCTAATAGAGTCTGGATATTTATTGCTAATATTATCATCTAAAAGGCATACTGATGAATAAACAATGGCTATAAGGTATAATCTACATTATAATCTTCTCCTCTCCATGTCTGGGGTCCTGTCTCTCTATTTCTGTCTGACTGTATTCCAAAAGGGATATTACAGTAGTTTACTACTCGTTGAATAATGTGCAGTATATACTACTGTATACTGCTTAGTATTTCTTTCAGGAAAAGTATGTGAAAAATAAAGCATTAAATGACAATAAAACATAACCTAACCACAAGTTTAATTCAGTATTTCCAGTTATCTTCATGTTTAATCTTAAAGGAATAGTTCACCCAAAAAGGAAATTTTGCTGAAAATTGACTCACTCATAGGCCATCCAAGATTCAAATTAGTTTCTTTCTTTGTCGGAGCAGATTTGGAGAAATTTAGCTTTACATAATTTTCTTACCAATGGATCCACACAACTCCAGTCCATCAATACATGTCTTGTGAAGAGAAAAGCTGCCCATTTGTAATAAACAAACTTATCATTAAGACATTTTTAACTTTAAATGGTAGTTTCTGGCAAAAATTACT